AGGGCAGTCTTGCTCTCCAACAGCCCCCTCCCCGAGCCTCCTACATCCTTGGGGCAGGAAAGGTGAGGGGTCCCCTAATTCCCCTTGTGCATAAGGCTCCCAAATTCTTAAATCCAGCCCTGAATGTGTCAGTAACGGATTTAATTTATGTAAGAACACCGAATTCTATTGCTGTCTGACAAGCGAAGAATATGTTGGATAGTTAAATACAAAGCACCATTTAAATATTGGTGACACTTGACCCAAACAAGAACAAGGAATTCAAATGTATGGCTGATGACCTCCTGCCCTTAACTTCACTGACCACAGCAAACAAAATGAGAAGTATATGGTGTTAGCTTGATTTTTGGAACTCCTTTCTTTCCCTCATTTTCATAGGTGACCTTTTTTTTTTTGTAAGTGTACCTGTATGTGGGTGCTTCTTAATGTATTCCTAATTTAGGAGAAGAACTGTGAGTGCAGTGTGAGCCCCCCCCCCCACCTCCATCTTCCCCTGCCTCTCATAGCCTGGGACTCAGGAGACAATCCCTGCTCTGGCACAGACTTGCTATATGATTTTGCGCAAGTCACTTAGTGTCTTGATGCCTCAGTTTCCCCCATCTGCAACATGGCAATAATAATTCCCTAGCACGAGTGTGATGAGCACAAATTTATACGTGCTTGTGATGTACACAGATACTAGGGTAAAGGAGCCCATATTGGTGCTATGGTAATACAAATAATTAATAATACCTAATTAGCTTAGAATAGGGAGAGAGAAATCTGTTATGCTCACATTTTCCTTCTTTTTTTTTACATGACTGCATAAGGTAGTTTCTGAGAGTTTTCTCTCTACACCTGCTCTTTGTGGGTAAATGCTAGAGGATTGGGGGGGGGGGGAAATCCCGGGAAGGTCCCTAAACTCCCTAGATTGGCATTCCACCACACCCAGGAAACCTACCTGGTGATGGAGACGCTATATGGTGGGCAGGTGGAATCCTGCCTGTTGGCGGATAGGCTAACACTAGCCTTTTAAAAATATCTGGGTGTCCTTAACTGTTTTGCAAAATTTTCCCATTTCTAATGGAATTCTCTGTGATAGTGATGGGAATATTGTTGGGAGTTGTAAAATGTTTCAGAATGCCTCCATTGTAGTGCAGTATGCTACAACTCTCATTACCCTACTCTGCCAGCCTCAATAAGCAAACCTTTCAGACTAGATGAGGAGACCGTTGGGAGCTAGAGAACAAATGCTCCAGGCAAACAGCCTGCTAGTTAACTATAAGATAGCGGGTTATTGATGATCATACCTGGTTCTGACATACAATAATTATCTATTTAATACATGACTGAAACTGTAAAATAAGTACAAAATGTCCAAAGTTCTATTCATAGGGCAAAAAAAAAATGTTGTAGTGATGACCTAAAGTTAAGCACCTAAATCTATATACATGTGGACTGGTTTTCAGAGGTGTTGATCTGTGGTTATCAATGGGTGTTCAGAGATGCTCAGTGTCTTCTGAAAATTGGGTCATTGATTTAAGTGCCTAAATATGGATTTCAGTGCCTAGGTTGACACTCAAACTCTTTAGGCCCGAGAGTGTGTCTTTCTGTATGTTTGTATAGTCTCTGCATACTGAGGCCCTCCTACTGTATTGTAACACAAATAATGCAGTCTGAATAGAATACCAATAGGAATTAGTGTTCAGACCTGATTGTAGGATTTGCAAGACTCCTCCAACAAATCCATGAAGGTCACAGTTGCAGGCCTTGGTCTGCTAGGAGACTTCTCAGCATGACAGATTGGGAGAAACAGGGGACAAAAAATCCCCTGCTCTGGTTACCTTTATGCTTCCTTCCCCTCTGCTGCTCCCTCTTTATTTCAAGCAGTTACTGCTCTCCTATGGTAATGATATTTCAAAATAATTCACACCATATTCATTTCCACCTTAAATAGAAGTCAACCATGATTTGACAATCTGAATAAGATGACTAAGGAAACAAATATAATCCAAATAAAATTTATACTGTGACACTTCTGGGTTTAGCTTTTGGCACAAATGCTTTCACGAGTCTATTTCAATGTTCAAAATGATAAAAATAAATAAAAAATGATGACAAATAAATTGATCAATCCCCCATCCCACCCTTCAAGCAATGTAACCACTTAATAATGCCTGTTGCACTAGAGGTGGTGCCTTCCCTTTATGCACAAACACTTATCTGAGCTGAAGTAGAAACTCTGCAATGGGACACCAAACTTAGACCTGGTCCACACTAAGCCCCCAGTTCGAACTAAGATACGCAACTTCAGCTACGTGAATAACGTAGCTGAAGTCGAAGCATCTTAGTTCGAACTTAAAGGTACTTACCGCGGGTCCACACGTGGCAGGCAGGCTCCCCCGTCGACTCTGCCTACTCCTCTCGTGGAGCAGGATTACCGGCGTCGACGACGAGCACTTCCGGGATCGATTTATCGTGTCTAGACAAGACGCGATAAATCGATCCAGAAGATCGATTGCTTGCCGCCGAACCAGCGGGTAAGTATAGATGTGCCCTTAGTTGGAGCTTCTGGGTGCTATATTAATGTATACGATGAATAATACCTGTGTATCTCGAACAGTTAAACCTAGTCACTTTTTTTTCTAGGACTGGTAAGTGCTTCTTTGCTAAGTTGTTCCAATCTCCTATGACCTTTGGAATGATTCCTGTCTCTGCAATGCATAGATCTAGTCCCAACACCTACAGGGACAGAAGCTGGGATGTCATTGGGAGGGGGGGGTGGAAACAGTTAATGAGAATCTGACACACATCCAAGACACTTTTTAAGGAACTAACTCCATCGCTAACAAACAATCTCAACTACCCTTCAGGCATCATTCCCTTATGTTAAGGCACCTCTTTCCAATTGTATTGTAAGAATTGCCATTTAACCTGCCATGCAAGCTCACAGTGACCTAGGGTGACCAGATAGCAAGTGTGAAAAATTGGGACGGGGGTGAGGGGTAATAGGTGCCTATATAAGACAGTCCTATATATCAGGACTGTCCCTATAACGTCAGGGCACCTGGTCACCCTACAGTGACCTTGCATTCGGGCTGCTCTCCTGGCCTATATCCCCTGGAAGTCTCCATTTGGATTTGCGATCTCTTAGCCTTTCACTGGTTAAGTGAGATGAGATTCAGAGAAGGGTGAAGCAAATGTTTAAGGGATGCAGGATTGCGTCATGAAGAAAAGCTTTAAAAGGAGCCAAATATATGTAGCTCATTTAAATTACAACATAAGGGAGTACAAAGACATGATAACTTGGTGCCTCAACCTGAGAGGACCAGATGAGTTATGCACACTAGCATGATAAAAGGGTATCTAGATACGTTTTCTCCCAGTGTAATAAAAGACTTTCAAGTTGAATATCGAGAACAACTTCATAATGCTGAGGTCTCTGTCATGGACTTCCAAGGGAAGTGAGACACTTAGTAAGACAGCAATTTGTCTACTTCAGAGTTGTCTCAAGCTACTAGAAAATATATACACTTGGGAAAAAGCTCTGTACTGGTGGGAGATATTAATGAAATAATCTACAATTTATTTGTTCTCTACCTTTCAATGATTTTAAAATAGCTTTAGGATTAAAATACTCTGTCCAGAACAAACAAAACTCAAGCTAATAAAAATAAAGGGCTCAGTTTCAGATTGTGCCATTTTACTGGACTTCAGAAGATCTAAATGACCTTTTTTTAATGTGCATATTTCTCCTGCACCTACTTGATATGTTGACCGGTCCATCATTTTTTATAATTAAACTCAAAACACTTATGTTCATTCAGTGATAATGTTGAGATTCTAATACCACAATGAAGTAAATGAGAGCCCAGGCTGTTGCCAGTGTCTTCTATATTTTTAATTGCTTATTTTTGTTCTCTTTAAAAATGGAAAAATAAAAATAAAGGCAAATGCAAAATACGGTGATGTATTAGTTCAGTTTCAAGGTTCTGTTATAACTGCATGCAAATCGAGAAATTCAAAAATGTTTCCTGAATACCATAAACTCTTCCATGTTGGTTTTTAATTGGAGCAGTAGGTGCACAGCACTTCAGAAAATAAAGCAATAGCCAATTTAATCAATTCCATCTGATTGGCTGTAGTTTGGTCCTTCAAAGAAATGAAACAAAACAAATTGCATCTGAATTGACTTCTGTATGCATTTGGAATTCATCTTTTGGCTGGGTGCAAGCAAGAGCAATTTCAACTCAAACCTTCACTTCTTCCAAAAAGCTATATGGTATTTAAATAATACACATTTTCCCATTTTCAGAAGGGTGGATCTTTACTGAAATTTTCAAGTCAACAACTCCTCATTGCTGAAGATTTATATAAAATTTGTAATTTTCTGGTAAGAATGTAATACGATAGGAAGAAACTTGGAAGTTGTAAGGACAGAAGATAAGCAAATAAATCTGTCCACTTATGCTATGCTCCCTCCTACAATATTTTGAACTACTCCCTAGTTGCTCATAGACCCTGGCAATCTTTCACATGTATCATTTTTGTTCCAGTGCATATTTTTAATTCTACTTCCATTCCCTTGTGTCTCAATCCTTTTTTCATGCCCTGATTCTTGCTTGTCAAAATTCAAACAGTCTTGTGGCATCTATCCTTTCCATTCCCTACAGAATTACATACATCTCAAATTAGCTCACCTCTCTTTGTCTAATTTCTTCCAACAAATTCAGACCTGGTTTCACTAACCTTTCTGTATAGCTCATTCTCAGGATCCTTGAATTGTACCATTCATCATCTGCAGCACCATCCTTGTCTCATATTAATGTGGCGATCCAGTTACTAGAAGGGGACATGGAAGCTTTCTGCTTTTGTTGTATTTCATGTTACACTTTTAGGTTCTTGTCTCAGTCATAAGGTTTGGAGATGAATAAGTTGTCTGGGCTGATTTAACTAATGCTGTGCAATTTTAAATGTATGGGCACTTTAGCTTTCCCTGTTTATACTCCTTGTTTTTGCAGGTAATTAAAGTATACAGTGAGGATGACACTAGCAGAGCTTTGGAAGTGCCAAGTGATGTAACGGCCAGAGATGTATGCCAGCTATTAATACTGAAGAATCATTACATAGATGACCACAGCTGGACACTGTTTGAACACCTTTCTCGCATAGGTCTAGGTAAGATTGCCTTGTTCATGGCATAAAAAAGGTATCCTAGCTGCTTGTGGGGTTTTTGTTTTGTTTTCCTATAATTTTCCTACATATAAGACTAGGAAGCTATTAAAACTCATTCTTCTGTTTTCCCCATTTTTTTTTCTGGTGCAGAGTCATAAGGCATGCTCTTTCACTGATCCTAAATTACCTTGATCTGAATCTGAAGCAGGGGTCTTGAGGACATAGATTCTTAACACTTATGATAAATGGCTTTTAGTTCTTTCCTCCTTTTTTGGGGGACAGTTTTCCCCCCTTTTACTTTCTTGACTTGCTCCTGTTTACCTCTAGCAAAAGAGCTGGGCCAGTATTCCAGTGCAAATAGTAGCTGTGCAACTCCAACACAACCAGCTGAAATTTTTGAGGGCGTAGTCGATGAATATCTCATACAAAGGACAGAAGAGCTTTCGTATTTCATACTTTTATGTGGACAGTGGGCGTCTATCCCTCTAAATTACATCTTTCTATTGAAGTAGACTTGTCAACATCCTACTGCAATACAGTCAATTAGCTTGGTGAGGTTTTGATTTAAACTCCAGAGAAATTAAAAAATGTAGGTCAAACTTCCCCCCAATCTACATATTAAATACAAAAGAAGCCTACATAAAAACAACTAAGCTTAAGATTTTAAGCCCACAAAAATCAAGATATTCATACTTCCGCTTCAACAACTATATTTGCCTTGTTGGTATTGTGTTGTCATATAAAGTGTAAATGTTTCTGCCTTATTTATGTGTAATGTGACAGATACCAGGTTTTGTGTGTTTAGGTAACCACTGTAATGTTGTGTTGTTGTAGTGGTCTCTATATTTTGCCAAAGAATTAGTGTAGATGTCTTCGCCCAGAAGACAGCAACTTAAAAGTTACTTACTCAGACAGTCTAAATACCATTTTCAGTATAAAAAGTAGGACAATATCTTGTGACTTTTTTTTTTTAATTTGTTTGTTTGGAGAGCTATAGTGGGGAAATTTTACTATAAATCAAGTCATAGACTCATAGACTCTAAGGTCAGAAGGGACCATTATGATCATCTAGTCTGACCTCCTGCATGATGCGGGCCACAAAAGCTGACCCACCCACTCCTGGAAGAATTCTCTCCCTTGACTCAGCTGTTAAAGTCCCCAAATCATGATTTAAAGTCTTCAAATTGCTGAGAATCCTCCAGCAAGCGACCCATGCTAGATCGGAAGA